CATCGTAAAGTTGATAAATCAGAAGTCGAACCGTCGTTAAGTCGGGCACTATCTGTATACTGTTCTGTGCTTTGTGTTGTCACTATGTGGAGGTCTTTTCCATGTCAATATAGAGAGCAGCCTCATTTTCTTTTTACAGCTGTATAGTATTCCAATATAGTGTACACATTAAAAATTTAATACACTTTATTTTTAAGAGCAGTTTCAAGTTTATAGAAAAACTGATCAGACAGTACAGAGTTCTTCCCTGGATGGGGTGGCTCAGTTGGTTGGAGCATCATCCCATGCACCAGGGTGGTGGGTTTGATCCTGATTGGAGCACATGCCCGGGTTGCAGGTTCCATCCCCAGTTGGGGTGTGTGTAGTAGGTAACCAATCAATGTTTCTCTCTCTCTTTCTCTTTTTCTTTCTCTTTCCTTTCCTTTCCTCTTTAAATCAATTTTTTAAATTTATTTATTTATTCTATTTAATTTTTTTTTCTTTATTGACTTTAGAGAGAGAGGAAGGGGGAGGGAGAGAGATGGAAACATCAATGAGAAAGAACATGGATCGGCCACCTCCTGCATGTCCCCCACTGGGAACCTGGCCCACAACCTGGGCTTGTGACCTGACAGGGAATGGAACCAGCGACCTCCTGGTGCATGGGTTGATGCTCAACCACTGAGCCACACCAGCCGGGCTAAACCAATTTTTTAAAAAGTAGATGCCATAAAAAAAAATAAAAAAAAATAAAAGAAAGAAAGAAAGTACAAAGTTCCCACATACCATTTCTCTTGTATTAACTAGTGTGGTACATCTGTTATAATTGTGTTGTACATTCTGTAGGTCTTCACAAAGGTATGATGTGTGTCCATAATTCCTGTAGCTACAGAATAGTTTCATTGTCCTAAAAGTCCCCTGTGCTCTGCCTTGTCCCTCCTCCCTCCCCCATGCCCTGGCAGCTACTGATCTTTACAGTCTCCATTCTTTTTTTGGTTGTTGTTAATCCTTACTGGAGGATATTTTTTCCATTGAATTTTATAGAGGAAGGGAGAGAGAGAGAGAGAGACAGAGAGAGAGAGAGAGAGAAAGAAATATCAATGTGAGAGAAACATTGATCAGCTGCCTACCGTGCGCACCTCAACTGGGATCGAACCCGTAACCTTTGGTGTACGGGATGACGCTCCAACTAACTGAACCACCGGACTAGGGCTGTTTAAAATCTATTACAGGACATAATAAAGGATAGAGATGAACAGCCAGATAGAGAGATACACAGGGCGAGGTGTGGGAGGATCCCGAGTATAGGAATGTTTGTCCCCATAGAGATAGTGTGAGTCACCCTCCCCGTGTAGATGTGTTCACCAGCATGGAAGCTCTCTGAACCCCGTACTAGTGAGATATTGTGCAGGCTTCTTCATGTAAGCATGATCAATCATTAACTCCTTTCCAGCCCTTCTCCGGCCCTGGAGGGTGGGGGTGGGACAGAAACTTGCAAGCTTCTCATCATGACTTGGACTTTCTGGTGACCAGCCCCATCCACAAGCCCATTCAGCATCACCTCGTTAGAACAAAAGATGCTCCTACTGCTCTACCACTTAAGAATTTACGAGAGTTTCAGGAGTTCTGTGCCAGGAACCAGTCTAGATTTTATATTATCTCATAGTGGCCTCTTCACATTGGCTTCTTCCTCTTAGCAATATGCTTTTAAGATCCCTTCACTGTCTTTTTGTGACTTGGTAACTTTTTTTTCTTTTTCTGTTAATCCTCACCTAAGGACAGTTTTCTGTTGATTTTTATTTTAAAAATAGTTGTGTTTTATTGATTTTAGAGAGAGAGGAAAGGAGAGGGAGAGAAAGATAGAAACATCAATTAGAGAGAACATCGGGCCCACAACCTGGACATGTGCCCTGACCTGGAATCGAACTGGCAACCTCTTGGTGCATGGGTCAACACTCAACCAGTGAGCCACACCGGCTGGGCTTCTATTGATTTTTATTTATTTATTTAATTTAATTAATTTTTTTAATCCTCACCCGAGGACACTTTTTCCATTTTTTGTTCAGATAGAGTGGGAGGGAGAGAGAGAGAGAGAGAAACATCGATGTGAAAGGGACACATCGAGTGGTTGCCACCCGCACGACCCAACCAGGGCCGGGGACAAACTGCAACCAAGGTAGGTGCCCTTAGCGGGAACCAAACCCGGGTTTCTTTGGACCACAGGCCGACGCTTTAATTGCTGAGCAAAACCGGCCAGGGCTTGATTTTTAGATGAGAGAGATAGAGAGAGAAAGAGAAAGAGGGAAAGAGAGAGAAACATCAATGTGAGAGTGAGAGAGACACATCGATTGGCTGCCTCCTGCATGACCCCAACCAGGGCTGGGGTTCAAACCTGCAACCCAGGTACATGCCCTTGACTGGGAATAGAACCCTCGACCCTTTGGTCTGCAGGCTGATGCTCTAACTGCTGAGCCAAATCAGCCAGGGTGGTAACTCATTTTTAATCACTGAATATCCCATTGTCTAGATCCACACTCTTTTTCAGCTGCTGAATATTCCATTGTGTTGATGGACCAGGTTAACTCCCTACTGGTGGACATTTGGAAGTCTCTGTCTTTTGTTTTATTTTATTTAAAAAAAAATTTTTTTTTATCCTCACCTGAGGACACTTTTGCATTCATCTTCAGATAGAGCAAGAGGGAGAGAGGGAGAGAGGGAGGAAGAGAGAGAGACACACACATCCATGTGAGAGAGACACATCGAGTGGCTGCCACCCATACTACCCCACCTGGGGCGGGGGACAAACTGCAACCGAGGTACGTGCCCTTAGCGGAAACTGAACCCGGGTCTCTCTGGACCGCTGGCCTATGCTCTAACCTGCTCTAACCGCTGTGCCAAACTGGTCAGGGCGAGTCTGTCTTTTAAAAAATTTTTTATTTGTTGATTGATTACAGAGAGAGAGGAAGGGAGAGGGAGAGAGAAAAATATGGGTGTGAGAGAGAAACATCGATTAGCTGCCCGCAACCTGGGCATGTGCCCTAACAGGGAATCAAACCAGCGACCTCTTAGTGCACAGGACGATGCTCAACCAACTGAGCAACACCAGCCAGGGCGGCAGGCTCTGTCTTCTATAGTTCCCACCAACACTCCTACTTCTATCCTGAACCCCAGGAATGGGTTTTTTATTTATTTTATTTTTTAGTCCTCACCCGAGGACATTTTTTGATATTTTGTTCAGATAGAGTGGGAGGGAGAGAGAGAGAGAGAGAAACATTGACGTGAAAGGAACACATCGAGTGGTTGCCACCCGCACGACCCAACCAGGGCCGGGGACAAACTGCAACCGAGGTACGTGCCCTTAGCGGGAACTGAACCTGGGTCTCTCTGGACCGCAGGCCAACGCTCTAACCACTGAGCCAAACTGGCCAGGGCAGGAATGGGTTTTTTAGGCCAAAGTGTATTTGTAGTTTTGTGCACTCCCTCCAGGTGTGTACCTCTGTACTGTTATGTATGTATATATGTATTAGTTGTATATTAAAACAAAAGCAAGTGTAAAAATCACTGTTTTTGTGGGAAGTAGCCGAGTGTGAAGAGCCTGGCTGGGTGAGACAGCTCCGCTGGTCTGTTTTCCCCTCTGCCTTACAGACTCTCACGGGGCAGCCCAGAAGCTTGTGAATATAGTGGGCTTAGGACAGTGACTGGTGCACAGCTATGCTCCCCATGGGGACTGTTTCCTGTCTTTACTTCAAACTGTGGGATGTTTTGCAACCATTAAATAAATGGGATTGAGCTCTGTCTTCTAACGTGGAAAAACATCTGATTATATTGCAGAGTGCAAAAATGATCCCCAGTGGGGGGCATGCAGGAGGTGGCCAATTGATGTTCTCTCTCATTGATGTTTGTCTCTCTCTCCCTCTCACTGCCTCTCTCTAAAAATCAATAAAGGGAAAAAATTTTTTTAAAAAAGAAAGCAAGCCCTGGTCGGTTTTGCTCAGTGGTTAGAGCGTCGGCCTGTGGTCCAGAGAGACCCGGGTTCAGTTCCCGCTAAGGGCACGTACCTCGGTTGCAGTTTATCCCCGGCCCTGGCAACCACTCGATGTGTCCCTTTCATGTTGATGTTTCTCTCTCTCTCTCTCCCTCCCACTCTATCTGAACAAAATATGAAAAAATGTCCTCGGGTGAGGGTTAAAAAAATAATAATAAAAAAAATAAAAAAGAAAGCGAATTGTGGAACTGGATAAAGTGTGCTAACGTGTGTGTCCTGAACGAATGCTAATTACAAAAATAACACCTGCTGCATTGAGAGAAAAGCAGCAAAGCTATTTTATGGAAAACTATAGAATTAGAAAAGTGAATGTTTCTTTCAAAAATTTAAATCAACATTTAACCAACAAATATTTACTAGCTAGATTTTGAAGGCTAAGAAAATGCCTCAAGAACAGTGGTTCTCCACCTTCCTGATGCCACGACCCTTTAATACAGTTCCTCATGTTGTGGTGACCCCCAACCATAAAATTATTTTCATTGCTACTTCATAACTGTAATTTTGTTTTCCGATGGTCTTAGGGGACCCCTGTGAAAGGGTCGTTCAACCGCCAAAGGGGTCGCCACTCACAGGTTGAGAACTGCTACTCAAGACAAATACTTTCTTTACTTCGACCAATTCCCTATTTTCATGTTCCAGAGGAAAAAGGCATTTTCCTGGTGCTAATAAAGTTCAGTTATGTGCTTTACTCTGCACACATATTGACCTTTGTTATGACTGAGCTGTTTCCACTACCTGGAAAGTTAATTACATGTCATAAGAATAGTGCCTATTGCGAAAATTAATGGTGATTATTAAATGTTTGTTGCTGTAAAAGATTCAGCAGTCAGCATCCTGAGCTTTCCTTTTGAAGGTGGGCTTTATTTTATTTTTTTTAAATTTATTGATTGATGGATTTTAGAGAGAGAAGGAGAGCGAGAGAGACATCAGTTTGTTGTTCCGTGTATTTATGCATTCATTGGTTGATTCTTATATGTGCCCTGATTGGGGATCGAACCCACAACCTTGGCATTATCAGAACCACGCTCTAACCAACTGAGCTACCCAGCCAGCGGGAAGGTGGGCTTTATATAAATTTTCCGAAGCTGATTTTCTTGGTGGCCGGAAGCTGACTGCTCATGAGGTTGTCTTTCTGTGGTTGGAAATAAACAGTAGTTCTGATTTTCTTGTCTGTCAAACCCGGTGCAAAGGCTCCAGGCGCCGACTTCCCTTCCAGAATAGCTGACAGTTCTTAAACAGCCTTATAAGTGCCAGGCACTTACAGAGCCTTGACTCACTTAATTGTCACACTTCTGTCATTCACTCCACTTTACAGATAAGGAAACTGAGGCCCAGAGAGGTTAGAATCACTGACCCAGGGTCACTCAAATGGGAAGATGGCCCTCAATCCAACGGGTCAGGGTCCCAAGCTCTGGCTTTTAGCCAGAAAAGATGGGTAAAGACACGTCCAGCAGGGGATGCTACCCAGCAGACATTTAGGAGGCCGAGAATGTTCATTTTTCTATATATTAGAGTTTGGCATTGTTTGTATCAGCAATTACTACTACCATAATGATATGAATCTAAAACATGACCCCTCCTCACCCTGGCTGACCCGCATGTCCTCTCACCCTAGCCCCGAGGAGGCCGGGCGGTACCTGGAGACCTACAAGGCCTATGAGCAGAAGCCGGCAGACCTCCTGATGGAGAAGGTGGAGCAGGACTTCGTCTCCCGGGTAAGGCCACGTCACCCCGCTGCCCAGGCCTCCCCCCAGCTCCTTCTTGGGTGTTCTGAGCTTCAGTTCTGATCTCCTCATGCCTCTCCTTCCCAACCCCACCCTCAGCTTCCAGTCTCCCCTCTCCCACTTGAACACAGCGAAGGGGGACTTCCTGACTTCCTAAGCACAAACCTGATCCTGCCCTCCCCAGCCCAGAACTCTCCCATGGCTCCCCAGTACCCTCAGGGAAAGCCTGGCTTTCTCACTGGGCTCTATCAGGCCCTGCCTGTCTGGGCCCGGCAGCCCTGCCTGCCCCCTGCCCTCCCATTCTCTGTCCCTTCTCTCAGGCCTACACAGTTACTCTATGTACGTGCCCATTCTGTTTCCTCTGCCATCTGCCTGATCTCGTCTTTCGCATCTGAGCCCTGATACTCCCTTCTCCAGGAAGCCCTCCCTGATCCCCAGGCCAGGTCAAGTGCCCCCACTGGCCTCCTCCATCCAGGCCCATGAGTTGCCACTGTCTGGAACTTACTCGTCTCCCACACTGTCCTGGGAGCCCCAGGAGGGCAGAGCCAGGGCTGTCTTGGTGCCAGCTGTGTCCCCAGCACTAACCAGCTCTCAGTGGGTACTCAGGGAATATCTGCTGAATGAACTGTTGAATCTGGGCTCCGGTGATAGAGTAACGGTGGATGCCTGCAGCCACCTCTGAGGTGGGTACTACTAGGACCCCTTTGCCTGGAAATGGAGGCCCAAAGAGGTAGACTCCTGTGCCCAGGATCTCACAGGGAGTAAGCAGTGGGGCCTGCTTTTGAACACAGCTCCTACAGTCTTCCCCTGGGCAGAACCAGCTCAAGATAAGTGGCATTTGTCTTCTCATTGGGTGACCAACACCCTCTCAGCTACTTGGAGATCACTCTGAGATGATCTTTTTTTTAATTATCCTCACCCGAGGACATTTTTCTATTTTTTGTTCAGATAGATTGAGAGAGACAGAGAGAGACACATCGATATGAAAGGGACACATTGAGTAGTTGCCACCTGCACGACCCAACCAGGGGACAAACAGCAACTGAGGTACGCGCCATTAGTGGGAACCGAACCTGGGTCTCTCTGGACCGCAGGCTGATGCTCTAACCACTGAGCAAACTGGCCAGGGCTGAGATGATCTTTTAATCAGGAAAAAAAAAAAAGAAGGCATTTATTGAGCACCCCCTGCATGCAAGGCAGTTTTGGACAGCAGTAACCCAGCGCTGCCCTCGCGGGCTGTCTGCTCTCCTTTCTCCTCGCAACACCCCTCTGCCTCCTCTTCCCCTTCCAGGTCACCGAATGTCTGACCACCGTGAAGTCAGTCAATAAAACGGACAGTCAGACCCTCTTGACTACTTTTGGGGTAAGGAAGGATTCCTGTGACCCTGCAGGCATTTCTATTCCCACACAAGCGCCCCCTTCCCCTCCCACCCTCTGCCCCCCCACCCTCCCACAGGACTTCACTTCCTTCTGAGAATATCTCAGACCCTCGGTCAGCTTGGTTAGCTGACCCTTCGCTCCCACCTTCCTCAGTCTCTGGAACAGCTCATAGCTGCATCTCGGGAAGATCTGGCCTTGTGCCCGGGCCTGGGGCCCCAGAAGGTAAGAACTCTGGGAATGGGCTTAGGGGTAGGGGCAGGAGGGGGCCCCAAATAAATGGGACTCCAGATCCCAAAGTTTTAAGGTTTCAGAAGTCCCACAGTGCCTCTCCTATAGATGGAGAACACTGAGGCCCAGAGAGGGTGGGGACTAGCCCAACCTCAGCCAGCCTGGGAGAAAAAGAACCAAAGCCCACTCTGAATGTACCAAACAAATGGCTCATTTAATGACCGTTCCTTTCCTTCTCCCCGCCTAGGCCCGCAGGCTGTATGATGTCCTACATGAACCCTTCTTGAAAGTGCCCCGATGACCTCAGCTGCCAAGGAGGCCCTCTGTGTAGTAATAAAGCATTTTCCCAGTCCAGGCTCCTGCTGGTGTATTGGTACAACCACCGGAAGGGGTTCTTCTCTGCTGTCACCTTCTGATGGCCCAGGTGGCCACCTCAGCTTTTCTTAGCAGTTGTCAGTTTCCCTGGAGGAGACTATGCAGGATCCTGCTGCAACTTCTTTTTCCTCTTCTTCTCCTGTCTCTGGGGAGCCACCTCCCCAGACTCTGGATTCAGTAGCGGCTCTGGTTTCTCCTCCTGGGATGCTGTCTCTGGCACCCCCCTTTCCTGGGCCCACTTCTTCATCTTCTTGGTGGACGCCGGCTCTGCCCTGGCCTCAGGCTCCATCATCTCACCTTCTGGGCCAGTCCCTGGCTCTGTTGCTTTGTGCCTTCTTTCTTTCTTCTTCTTCTTGGTGGATGCTAGGGCTGCTTGAGGCTCAAGGTCCCCTGGCAGCTCTGGTGCCATCACCTCTTCCTGGGGCTCCACTACTTCAGTCTGTGGCTCTATCATCATATTTTGCTCTTTTTTTTTCTTCCTCTTTTTGGTGGATGCTAGAGCTGCCTCAGACTGTGGCTCAACTTCATGTGGCAGCTCAGGCTCCGCCATGTCCCCTTGGAGCTCCAGAGTTCTTATCTCTGGCTCTATAGCCTCAGTCCCTGGCTCCATCAGCACTTTGTACCCCTTTCCTTTTTTCTTCTTCTTTGAGGACAGCAGTGGGATGGTGTCCTCCTGTGGCTCCTCCTTTACCTGTAGCTGAGACTCAACTCGCATCCCCTCCACTGGCTCTGTCCCTTCTGTCCCCTTTTGTCTCTTCCTCTTCTTGGTCGGGGATAGGACCGTCTCTTGCAGAGGCTCAGTTTTAACCATGAGTTCCAGCTCCACAATCTTTTCTTCTGGTTCCAGCACCCCCATTTCTGTTTCTTTAGGTTTCTTTTTCTTCTTGCTGGTGGATGGGAACTGCACTCCCAGAGGTTCCGAAACTTCTGCTGTGGGCTCTGTTGACACTGGCTTCATCACCTCCAGTTCATTCGGATGCTGCTTTTTCTTCTTCTTCTTCTTCCCCACATCCTCCTCTGGGAACCCCGAAGCTATGTCCACCTCCAGGGTCCCATGCCCATTCACTGCCTCCTGAGGAATGGAGGCCTCAGGCACATGCCTCTTCTTTTTCCTCCTTCCTGAGGCCGGTGACCTCAGTGCCAAGGCTGACCCAGGCCCTGTGACTGGTGGGCTGCCTCCAAAGGCACAGAACCGAGGCCTCAGGCCAGGGGGTATCTGTGGTGGAGGGCTCTTGGGAATGGGCTGCAGCAGGATCCCTGATAGGGATTCTTGGGGACCCTCTAAGATCCTTAGGCTGCCCTTGGGAGCCGGGGCACAGGTGAGTCCACCTCCTGCCTCTGCTGAGGGAGCCAGCAGGGTTGCTTCTCCAGCCTGGGAGCCGCTGCTGCTGAGGACCTGGTAGCGGTGTCGCTTGCCTGCCACTTTGCCCTTCACAATCTGTGAGCCAGAGAGAGGCACCAGCCGCCCATTGAGGCTGAAGGAAGAAAGGAGGAGAGCAGAAGCTTGGTCAGATTATTTTAGTGGCACAGGAGAAAGGAGCTGAGCAGCAGCATTTTCTAGGTTCTTTGGAGCAAGCCACTCTAAAATTTCCCCAAGATCAACCATTGCAGTGGGGAGTATTCCAGGGAGGTGATGTGGGACCACTTACCAGTCTGGAGCGAAATCTACAGGAGCCTGGATAAGCCACAGTTCCGTATCTGGACCCGCCAGCGCCTCCACGGAGAAACGAGTGGGCTCTGAGGCTGGGGGTGATGCGGTAAAGTTGGGGGGACAAGAGAACCGAGCAGCACCTGTAGAAGGGGAAACGAGGGTCTGTCGACACTTTCTTGCCAGTCCAATACTCCAGGGCGCCTATCGGTCCATTGGTCCCAACCTCTTGAACGCCCCAATGCCCACCCCCACCTCCTGCGCCTCTGTCTCCTCTTCGAAGGTCGTTTCTGCGGAGACCTACCTCCACTGATTCAACCCCTTGGGGTTCTCTGCTCCCCACCAAGATATCCTTTCTCCGTCCGAACTCCCTCCACTCCCCGAGTTCCACAGGGCGTGCTTTTCGCAGGTCGTGTTTCCGGAAATGTCCCTTTTACCATCCGGCCGCTCCTGGGCACCCCTTCCTCCTCCCTCCAGCCAGCTCCCTGCACCCCGTCGGGCCGGTCCTGAAGCAACTCACCGTCGGACTGGGTCCCTGCCATCCCGCTACGCACGACTCCACAGACCCGCAGCCAGAGCCGCTCTGGCCCCGCCGCCGACCACGTGGAACCGAGGGGGCGGGGCCTCACTGGGAGCGCCCAAGTGGCGCCGGAGCGCGGAGGTTTCGCTCCGAGCCCGCTCGCCTTACGAACAGAACTGGGAGAAATGTCCTTTAGCGTGGAGCAGACAACCAAGGAAAATCTGTTTTCTTGGAAATCGGCTCCCGAGAGCAGCTGACTCATGTCTGGCGGGAGGTAGAGTCCCACCAGGTCCCAGCGGGCATCCCCCTTAGTTTCTCAGACTTTATTTGCTCCAACGTCGTCTTAAAGGGGCAGCCACATTGTTAGGACCTAACTCTTAAAGAGACAGGAAGATCGATTGTTCTGAAATTCTTAAAGAGATAGGTAAGAGTCTTGGTTGGCATGGCTGCGCTTTCAGTGTTACAGCCCCTCCTAGGGAGGCCCGGAAGCCTCGGAAGTTCAGAACTTGAGTGGGAGGGGTGGGAAAATGGAGGAAATAGGGTAATTCCTCCGGAGGGCGTGAAGTACCAGACAGGGGCGGGGCTTCTGGACTTCGGGGGAGCGGGAAATCAAGGGGGCGGAGCCTGTGGGTCCCTGGGCGGAGCTTCCAGGCTCTGAAGCCGGACACGCGTGGGGCCGTCCGGACTGAGGGGTAGGGCTTGTGGGTCCAACGAAGACGGGTAGATGTCCTGGAGGATTTAGTCTCGTGCGTGGGGCACATTCCCGAAGGCTTTGAGGAAGGGAGAGGGAGTAGACCAGAGCCCCTTTCCGGACCCGGGGCGCGTGTAAACAGCGGCACGTGGGTCCAGCCTTGGGGGACGCGTCCACGCCCCTTCTGACAGGGACCGCACCGCGTGGGGTGGCGGGCAGAGCCGCGAGACAGCGGCCAGACAGTGTGACCCAACTGCATTCCTGGCCGGTGTGTCAGCGCCTCTTCCTGCCCCCTCTGCCCAGATTTCGGATCCTATTCCTGAATTGGGGTGCCCCTCTTTTCAGGGAGCGAGCGGCTTCCCAGAGCCGAGGGAGGGTCAGCGGATGCGTTCCCTCCGCCTGGGATCCCAGACAGTTCCCGCGCGTGGGCGAGACACCCAGGCGTCGCCCTGCGGGCTACGGGACTACAGTTCCCAGAGGACTCGAGGCGGGGAAGCGCCAGACCAACGTTGTGGACGCTGCTAGGATTGCAGTCCCAGCCTCGGGCGCTGTTGCTGGGAAATCCTATAAAGATCCAACCTGTCCTTTTTATCGATGGGGAGACTGAGGCTCAGAGACCTGAGGGGAATACTGATTTAGCGAGGCCCTCTACTCGCCCTAGGGGCGGAGCGTGTGAGTCTCCCTCGGGTTCTAACCTTCTACCCCTTAACTGAACCTGGAGGGCTAGGGCAGGGATTCAGGAGTCTGTCTCTCGCAGCCACAGAGAGGTAGGAGCCTGGACTCTATTTCCGTGGCCAACTAGCCCTAGGCTTCTGGGCCTCACCCTTCCTGTCTGTAAAATGGACTTCGGCTGACTCCGAGTGGGCGTGGTTCAGTCTGCGCCCTGCTCCTCCGGGACTACAAGTCCCAAGGTGCTCGAGGGGACCCCGATTCCCCCTCCCCTCCGGGACCCGCCTCCCTCCAGCCGGAGTCACGTTGTCTAACCTGTTCCCTGAGCCTGCCCCGCCCCGTCCTCCGCTCCCCGCAGCCGGAGCCGGAGCCGGAGCCCGAGGAAGACCCCTGGTGCCAGGATCGGCCCCGGATCCGTGAGTTCCACTTCCCTGGGGTCCAGCGGCTCTGGAGGAGCCGACACCCGCGTCCCTGGGAGGACTGGGAGGGGACCCAGACGCCAGTCCCAGCGCAGAATCGGGGGTGCGCAGACGCCAGGGTCCTTGGAAGGAGAGAACTTGGATACTTGATTTACTGGGCAGAAGGAAAGGGGGCCCGGATGCCTGAATTCTTAGAATGGAGGACCCGGACGCCTTGGACCTGGGACTCCTGAGTCCCTTGAATTGGGGGCTCTCGGAACCCTGGGTAGGAGATGCCTGAGTCTTGGGCAGAAATGGGAAGCTCGGACGGCTGGGGCTCTGGAATGGGCGGCTATCCCTACCGCCCTCCTGCTGCCTTCTCCACCGAGCCTGTAGGTCTCCGAGAAGAATTAGGGGTGGGGTGGAGATAGTGGAACCTGGATCCCTGAAATGGAGCAAGACAAATACCCGGGGTCCCTCTGGAGGCTGTGTCCCGGCGCTTCCCCTAACTTTCTTGCTCTGGGGTGGGGGCTGGGGGTGGGAAGACTGGGGCAGCTCTCCAACCTCCTCTGTGCCGCTGCGCGAACCCCAACATGTCATTAACCGAGGCGTCAGACCTGCCTAACCAGAGAAGGGACCTCCGCCCCAGGGCGCCCCCTGGCGCGGGCGTGGTGCCTCCGATTGCCCCATGGAGGTGGGAAACAACTGGGGTTTGCAGAGGGCGGACATTCTAGGTAGAACCCAGGGCAGAATTCCAGAAAGTGGGGTTGGATTCTGGAAGGCTTGCATGCTGGGCACTACACAGTCATGACGCAGAGAGGATGAGGGTAGACCAAGGCTGAGAGGTCAGAGTTGAGGGGGCGATTTGGCATCCCCCTCCCTTTGCAGCTCTGTGGGGTGTGGAATTCCATCCACTCCCACTAGATTTTCTGACGAACCTTTTCCCCCTAGGGCTACTCGCCCTGACCCCAAGGTGAGAAATGTCACCTCCACCCCCATGTGTCTGACCTGAGGTATCGTGGGAGATAAGGGAGGGATAGAGGCTAATTCTGGAGGTGTGTGTCTGTCCTTGAAGCAGGGGGAGGGCAGGGCCCTGCACCTCCCTCTGTCTGTCTCCTCCTTCCCTCCTCCCCCAAATGTCACAGGAAGGGATTAAACAAGGGGATGAGGGAGGCAAGGGGCTCTGATGAGAGAGGGAAGAACTTCCTGAAAGTCTGGTCTTGAAGGACATTTGGTAATAGCCTGCCATGACATTAAAAATAATAATCATGGTTGCCAAGACAGAGCTCACAGCATGCCAGGCTTTGGGTTGGCAGGTAGACCGATTGTTCCTATTGTCTCAGGCAACTATTTAAAGTGTCACTTCCAATGAGGTTTGCTGACCCCACCCCAGGGAATGACTTCTCTCTACTCCAGTGGGAAAACAGGCTGGAGAGCAGGCACAGCCAACACCCTGGGCTTTTGCCACCTTCTGCCTGGAACCTTCCAGGGCTCATCATGCCTCTGTGCTTAAATTATTGTGGATGACCCTTAACCAGAACTCAGGAGTGTACATGGAGAATTTAGGGCTCAGGAAGTCAAGACTCCAGAGGTCCAAATGCAGGGCTTTTAGAATCTCAGAAAGAGTCAAAAGGGCTCTTTGGGGGCTGGGATATTATTTTGGGTACTGAGCTCTCACTCAGTGCCAGACCCTGTGTTATCTTAACGATCAGCAAAGGAAAACGGTAATTAAGAATCCTATATGTGTGAACTTTATTTGGCGCCTCGTACTGTTCTAAACACTGTACATAAATTGTGTCACTCAAGCCTCACACCCCTTTGAGGTGAAGGTATTAATCCCCCCATTATACACACGAGGAAACTGAGGCACAGAGAAGCTAAATGACTAGTCCAAGGTAGAGGCTTAGAAAAGGGAAGGTCCTAGCTCATTCCACAGCTGTCTCCAGAGGAGGAAACAAAGTCTCAGAGAGATGGGGGCCTCTCCCAGCGTCACTCTGTCCTCACAGAGCTGTAGGATTACAACCTGGGTATTCCTAGGCCAGCCTGGCGCTCTGATCGGTTCCTACTGAGGATGATTCCTCTGGAAGCCCGCGCCCGGATTCTTCAACCAAAGAAGCTGGCTGGAGTGCAAAGGAGTCCTGGAAAAGAGCTGGGGTGGAGTGGAGGAGAGAAGCGGGAGCTAGGGTTGGAGAGGACCTAGGTGGAGGGCAAGGGCCTGGGAGCAGAGGCGCCGCCCGCGCCGCCCTCGCGTCCCGCCCGGCCCCCGCTCCTCTGCCGCGGGAGGTTCTGCACACCTGCCCGGACCCGCGGTGCATTCCCGGGGTCTGAGCTCAGGCGCTGTCCTCCCGCTGGGCTGGGGTCGGGCGGCGAGCCGGAGCGCCCCCTGGCGGCCGGACAGTCCTTCCGCCCGCACCGGTGTCGGGTGGGCCCCACGCCCAGCCTAGGCATTTCCTCTGAGCCAGAAGTTGTCAGCATGGGATCTGAGAGTCTTAGAAATTTGGAAATCATGAAATCCCCCAAAGAACCGCACGCTGCCAGAATGCTGGCACTGGAGGCTGCAGTGAATTGTTCAATTTTTATGTTTTAACAGAGCGTTTCCTGTGTATCTCAGATTCTAACAGACCCGAATTTTGACTCTTGTCCCTGCTGTCTGAGGCCTCAATTCTCAGAACCTTAATTTCCCTTGCACCTTCTGGCCAGTTGGATTCTCACAACAGTCCTCCGAGATAGACTGCTGTTTCTCCTCATTTTACAGATCAGGAAACCGAGACACTTGTCAGGGTGGGACAGTGGGGCCACCAGATCAGAGCCCTGGAAGTCTGGCTCCCTCACTGTGCTCTTATCCACTGCACTATACCACTGTCACCTAGGCATTTAGGACAGGGTGATCCTGGGATAGACGGAACGCGTTGCGGGAAGATGGAGAAAGCCAGGCTAGCCAAATTGGAGTACTCTAGAATGTTCCAAAGATAGAACCTTGGACTCAGAACTTTTGAACATTAGACTCTCAAGCTGAGGGTTTTTGGCTCTAGAACAATCTCAAGGTCCTTACAGTTTCAGAATCTAGGCCTCTGAGATATTGAAGAGGCCCCTGAGAACAGCTGATTTCACTTCTGGGGAAACTGAGGCCCAAGGAGTGGAGGGCACTCGTTGCCCAAGGTATATACACTCCCAGCACACCCAAACGAGCCACTAGTCCCGACAGGTTCTGTCCTGAGGCTTCTCAGACAGAGGCCGGGATCAGCATGCCCCGGCCGGCCCTGCTGCCCACGCCTGAACCTGAACCGCCAAAGCTAAGCTGTTGGTGAAGCCTGGGGAA